AAACCAGGAAAAAAAATTCAATAAAATCTTTAATCCATCACTGATATTTGGCTCCCATATTGCTGGTGACACAAATGACAGCCTAACCCAGCAGGTGACTCAGAAATAATTCTTTGAAATCTAGACTTTGGAGACTCTTTGAGGAGCCCACTTGAAAGCTGGCACCATTTTTGTTACTTTGTCAGCAACTTTCTGTATTTCTTCTACAGCCCATTGAAGATATTTTTGTTGGAGTTTTTTCTCCCTAACAACTAGAGCTTGGCAAACGCTGCAAAACATTTTGGTTGACTATTTCAGTTTTTAAATGACTTTACTCTGATTGTGTTCATGCACCTTTTTGTGTTCTCTGGTCAAGCTATTGAGAGTCACTGGCATGAACATTCATTCAAAGTGAACAGGAGTACTTGTGGCACCTTAGTGTCTAGCGAATTTATTTGAGCATAAGCTTTTGTGGGCTACATCAGATGAAGTGGGCTGTAGCCCACGAAAGTTTATGCTCAAATAAATTTGTTAGTTTCTAAGGTGCCACAAGTACTCCCGTTCTTTTTGCGGATAATGACTAACACGGCTGCTACTCTGAAACCATTCATTCAAAGTGAATTTCAAAGTCACATGAGCATATAACCATGGAAACTGAATTTTAAACTTAGATGCAAGTATTAATTGTGGGAGTGCCTACATGCTTATCCAGCTTGAGAGTGGAAATGATACCACGTGACTTGCTAATCAGGGCAGCTTGAATAGTGAATACCTGCAGAAAATTTGTTTGAGGTCAATCCTGTGAGGTTAAAAGTCCCCCAAAATCCATGAAATGGTTTTGAATAACATCAATTGAAAGAAAATGTAATCTGTTAGTGAATGTTCCACACATGGAAAAGCAGGCTAAATTGATCACACAAAAGTATTATTCCCAAATTACTCACTCAGCTTTACTCCACCCATGTTCCTCATCTGGATCTGATGACCACATCCTAATCCTTTTGTTTATGGCTGGTGAAGACACACATTCAGCACTGCAGCTTCATTTCAGGATTAGGTTTGAGAATTCTGGGGGAGAAAACTTATGCTTGAAGTACATACACAAAAACGAGTGGGTAAAGTAAGATAAATTAAAGTTTATCCCACTAAATCGAAAACGTCCATCTTTATTTTCTACAAATCTATATTGTATGAATTTACTGCATATGATAGACAACATATATTAGAGTTTCCTCAAGGAAAAAATCTCTTAGTATCTTCAGGAGTGCATGTGTAAGCATTGCATTAGCTGTTTTTATCGTAGGACGTTTGAATTCAAATATGCCCCATTTGAAAAAAGCATTCAGATTCAGGACATTGAAGTAATTGGGACGTAAGCACATATTTAAAGTTCAGTTCACATGTGCTTCAATACTATTCTGAACAGGAATGGATTTAAGGATGTGTTTAAGAGCTTTCCTGAATCACGGCCATGCTGAAGAAGCAAAGCTTAATTTGAATGCACCCTTAGAGTGGTGCAGATAGTCCAGCTGTGCCATGTTGCAAGCTGTCACAGTTGCTGTGGAACAGACTAGCTGGCCCGTGAGGTGCAGCAATAGGCAAAGATGTTTAAACGTTGCATGGGTTTACCCCCTTTGGAGGATAGATACATCTTCAGAGTTAGGTGCCACGGTGCCAAGCACCTTTAAAACACCTAAGATAGATAGACATGCATCCTGTTTATACTATGGAATTATCACATTATTCACTGTTGAGAGCTGGTGCTGGACTGAGAAGGGAACCAGATCAATATGTTGTCAGTGGGAGCAGTGTGACAGACTAACCTAATACTGGATACCTTGTAAATATATAATATATATTAATATATAATGTTTCAGATTAACCTAATACCAGGTACCTTGTAAATATATTACATACAGTTTCTTTCAGTTCAGACATATACATGAATACACCAAATTACCAGGGCCAACAGTATTCCTAAGTAAAGCTAAAGCTAAGGGGGAAATGTGTTTCTCATCCACAAAAATGTTTGTGTTTTCAAAACATTTTTCCATTCTACATTGGGACAAAATCAGGACTCGTCAAAGTTTTGTTTTTTTGTTTTTTTGGGGGGGGAGGGAGGAGATTGGAGGACAGACAGACAGACACATATATACACACACACCAGAATAGCCAATAGCCTGGTGGTTAGGGATGGGAGAGTGAGGTTCAAGTCCCTACTCTGCCTGATTCAGAGCAGGGACTTGAATCTGGTTCTCCCAGATGGGTTCCCTAACCACCTGGCTATTGGCTATTCTGGCCTGGCTCTCTGGTTTTGACCAGAAAATTCCATCCTGGACCCAAGAAACCTTTCTCAACAAAAGTTTAGACAAAACTGGCATGTTCCTGTGAAACATTTCAGTTTCAGCAACCTGGCATTTTCCAACAAAAAATATTAATGTCAAAAAAATTCCCAACCAGCTTAAGGATCTTTCGTTCCTAACAGTCTTTACAGCTTCTGACTTTCTAGAGAAGCAACTCATGTAGAAATCTACTCAGCATCATGGCTACCAGCTGTAGGCTCACTTTTGTCTTAAAGCTCTTCCTGCTTTGTTTCCATTAGGTGAAGTTACAGGAAAGGTTTTTAAAAAGGAGCAATATTCTGTACTGCACAGTCATTATAACACCCCAGAGGAGGAAGAAATAAATGACAAATATGTCCACCTTTCATGAAATGTCAACTGTAAGCCCCAACTGCCCTGGACATAATGCATGTTTTCCCACAGGTCTAAGAGTCCCTGGGAGGGCTTCAAAATGGGGGCAATCCACAAAAGAAATTGGAGATTCAGGAGGAAGACTCAAGTAGGACAAAGGGGTGGCAACCCTCACACCCCAAAATAGAGTTATTCAAATGAACAGTAATGATATCAACACTTTTGAGTATCTGCTTTCAGTTTTTTTCAGAGCTGATTTTGCAGATATAATAAATATAAATATTGCTTCCAGAAAGCATAGGACTGGGTTGTTTCAGTTCCTGGGATGGATAAACTAAAATTGCATTTTCCCTCCTTTGGGACTAGATTTATTTATAACTTTCTGAGCTATTCATGCATATAAAATTTTGCTGTTATTTTCTGTGAAAGAATTTTCCTCCTTTCCTTTTATTGGCCCCATTTCTTTCACATACAAAGCCACAGATGCTCCATTACAATGATGTCAGCCTTGCTACATGCTCCAGCTGTTTAGGTGCATTTATAAAGTTCAGCCCTGTACATTATGCCATAAATGTATATTTCGTGTATAAACATAAAGCTAACATATTGCAGATCTCTCTAAGTGTAACTTTAATGGAGGTTCAGTGAGTTTTAAAAATATTGAAAAGTGTTTAATCTTTCCGTTGGCAATATTTTTATGGCAGGTTTTCCAATTATTCTTTTCTCAAGCTAGGTTCAAAGATTTTTTTTCCCCCTTGTATTTCATCTTCTGTGATTTTTGGAAAAGCAGGGAGGTTTTTTTAGTAAGACAATATGTATTTTAAATAGAGACGTCTGAGTGAAAATATGCTTCTGTCCACATCTACTCGTGTCCAAGCCCTCATTACCTTCATGCACGCTCACCAGTTCACCACGCCGAAAAACCTCATTTCTGGATGTGCCAGCTTTCAAAGATGTTACATGTCACAAGATGTTGTTACATTGACTTGATGTATAAATATTGACATGGGTAAATTAAATCTGGGTCCAAATTATAAGGGTCTTGTCTTGTGTCCAGGATTTCAGAATAGGGGGTGAATTGTGCCCACTAGACACAGTCTTGATGATGCAGCCCCAGCCCTGTTGCCTCAGATTGTCTTGCAGTGTGCAATTTGTTCCATCCTGTAAACCACACCTCTGGCTCCTCCCCTCCCCCTGTGGAGGTGCACGACGGGTCAAATCTAATTCCCATTGAAATCATTAGACTCCTTTTGGCTCCAGTGGGAGTTGACTCATGCTGAGAAGGAGCATTCACTGCACTCCCTTGAGTGTAGTGTTCCTTATATTTATTAGCAGTGTTGCTTTTTTCTTCTGTCTGAATTTCATGTATATCTTGTTGTCATAATTTACCCGAGGTGCTGCATATACAGTAAGTTTTCTAGTAGATTACCAAATACACCTCCTGACTCATACATATTTGAGGCATAATCTTGGTTCCACTGGCTTGGCAATATAATGACTCTCAGCAGGATCCTGTTCCTTAATTCATGCTGTTTAGTACAAGATCAGTGGTGAATAAAACCACCCATAATTTGATGACCGAGCAGTCCCTGACTTTGAATGTATATTGGCAGACTTCGCTTAGCACAGTAATTATGCAGGATCCTGGGCAGTTAGTATCGACTTGATGTACCCTAATAGTAAATATATAAGCCGTGATTCAATGTGGAGCAAAAATTCAAGAACATAAAATAAATTCACAAATTATATTGAAATACACGTGACCTTAGGAGTAGATGATGGGCATGAGTACAAATCCAATTGCTGTGCTCTCAGGCCCTCCCTACTGATCCATTTTGTACCAGCCTATTCAGTACTGAGGCAGAGTCCCCTATGTAGGGGCGGTGTTTAGTTTGTAATGAAAAACATGCTCGGCCTCAAGCAATTAGGTGTTGGGAATCAAACAATATGTTTACATTCAGAACTCATGCACCTGAAGTGCTGGGGCTATGAACTGCCAAGCCTAGGGAAGCCCTGGCACAAACTAAGCTTTGTGTAGGGGACCTTCTATGCAGCTGCTCCCCCCCCAGTGTACATACCTTAGAAGGGCACCACAGAGTTTACAAAGTGAGGAGAGCCTTGCACAAGCCTCTCTGTATGTGAATGACTTTCACTAACAGTTATATTTATTGATCTGCACATGTTTATTATTATTATTATTATTATTATTTAAGTATTTATTTGTTTTATTGACATATTAAAATATGCTTACCAAAAGCCTGTTGCTAAGAAACATGGACACGTACAATAGAAAATGTTACTATTAATTACTGACGCTTACATTTACAGGTCCTTTGTCATCCAGCAAATCCCAAGCAGCAATCTCTTCATGGTGGTAGTAGATAATGAATGCAACTGTGAGTCTATCTTGCCAATTACCATGGAACCCATAGAAATAAGGTATATCCTTTATTTTGAAGATTGTAAGAGGGAGACTCAAAGTGCCAATGTTGAATGTGACCCTGTGTGATTTAGGAGCCTAACAGACAGATCTTCAGCTGTTGTAAATTGTCATGGCCCCATTGAAGTCAAGGCAGCTGAGGATCTGCTCCTTAGTCTCATTTTCCAAAGTTACTGATGCATTTAAGAGCCTAAGTCCCATTGAAAGTCAATGAGAGTTGTGCACCTAACTTTTGTAAGGCATCTGCATGCGTATTTAGACACATAAACGTCTTTGTAAATCTGGCCTTAAGTCACTTCTGAAAATAGGACATAGCCTCCTAAATCTTTGGTGGTTTTGAAAATTGCACCCATATTGCCAAAGATAACATTTTAAACCTGGATAACTCCTTTATTGTAATTTAATATGTAATCTCTTCCTTAACTTTGAATTTTAGGGCTGGATTGCTACACTGACAGGTATCACTTTGTGTTCTGAAAATATAAAAGATAGATTCTGTAACACAGTAAATTGACAACTTAATTTGTAGTCTAAACATCATCTTGTTTTATTGCCATACAGGAGTTTGGGGTTTGTTTCTTCTCATAAATAAGTATTCACCGAAAAGAATCAGCAGTATATTTTTATTGCTGAGTGATAGACCTTTCAAAGGACCATTTGGTTGTGTTAAGTGCCGATGGGAACAACATTGGGAAGAACAGCAATAGAATTATGTCCCACTTTTTTTGTTGATTGGTTGGATTTTGGAGGAGTGGGAGGAGGAAGGGATGGATGGATGAACTTCATTTCAAATCCATTCAAACTTTGAATATTTAAATGCAGTGATCATAAGATCTCTCCTTAACTACTGTGAACATAATGAATCCCTTAAATGTGAACGTTTAAAATCTCAGAAGATTAGAAGACGTCCAGAATCTTGTCATGGATTTCATCCTGAAGTAAGTTTTTATACTGCTTTTTTTCCCTCTTTGGTAAATATTTTTTCTAGAGTAGATACAGACGCTCCCCGACTTACGCAAGCATTCCATTCCGGAACGCCTTGTGTAAGTTGAATTTTGCGTAAGTCGGGAACATATATCCGACAATTATGCAAAAAAAAAAAATAAGATTCTGGAACTTTTTCCGTAAGTGCGGATTTTCGTAAGTCGGGTTTGCATAACCCAGGGAGCATCTGTATTAGAAAACTCTCTTCTAGTGTGAAAAGCAAACTAAATATTTTGGACATTCTGAACATAGTAGTAAAGGGAAGTTGCTGCATGATTGCAAGCAATGCAGAAATTGTCAAGTGAGCTTGTACTCCATTTCACGATTAAGTGCTGTTTTCACACATCACGGCACAACATGTAAGAGGCAGAGGCATGATCTGAGTGCAGAATTGGCAGTCAGGAACTTCTGAGATCTTATTCTGGGTCTAATACTGATTCCTTCCATGATTCCTTTCTGAAACCAAGCTAATTGGCCATGGGACAGGATTTGGCCTCTGCATGAGTAAATAACGTCAGCATTTCAATTGTCCTACTGGTAATTTTGTGATATGTTGATATGTTTAGCTGGGACTCCGACACAATGCTTTTAAGATGTAATGCTCTACACAAGTGCTTCCTACTTTATGAGCTTAAATATCTACTCTGCTGAGGCACAAAGAGGAAGTGACTTGCCCAAGGTCACCCAGAGCCAAGAATAGCTTCCTGATCATCTTTATTTTTCTGTGCTTTGATTACACAAATTTTGTTTTATTGAATCTGCCATCTACTGCATATGTGCTTTAATAAATATCCATGCATTGCCATGAATCTTAATGTTTTTGTCTTGATTCTTCTTTGTTCTTTTCTTTAGGAGAATGCAAGAGAATGTGGGGGTGTTCTAGGCCTTAGTGCTAAACCTACTCTTGTTCTTCTTCCACTGCTTTTGGCAATTTTCTCAAGGTGACGTTGACTGATGTGTTCACTTGGCATGCTAAATACATGGATAAACTGTGAACTGAGAAATGGTGCAACATAGAAGACAAGAAATATAGTCAAAACATCAGCATTTCATGATTTTAAACTGTTGATGAGATAAACTTAAAGATATGTTGAAAAATTTATCTTTTTACTTTGCAAGTCATGCAAATGTGAATTTGCCATATGATAGTCACAATTCATCAAAAAAGGACTTTAATAGATATACACAGGTGTCCATTACTTTCTGCTTTGTCCCATTGAAACCAATTTAAAACTGTGTACTTTTTAAATAAAGTATATTAAAATCATAATTTCATTGTGTATTTTTTTAAAATATAGCAACTAAACATTTTTCCTGAACTAGTAATTGGAACATAATAAACCAGGTAAGGGGAGATTTCACATGTGTAGGCTTTGTTAAACTAGTTCTGAGATAATGGGAAGCTAGAGGATAACACATACCTAATTTTTTATAATAAAGGCTGAGTGACTTATATTAATAACCAAGTCAATGGAACGTAAGCAAGTCCTTCAAGTTGCGCATGTGCTTCAGTTATTTTGCTGAACTGGGACACAGATAATGTTCTCTGATGATTTACAGTGAAACTGGAGCTTTTTTAACATAGCTGTAAAGAAAATCCTATGACATTTAGAGTATGAGCTGAAGCCCACTGAAATCTTTCTAATAACGTCCACAGGTTTTGAATCTGGTTCTTTAGTAATATGTATCGCAAGTGGCAGAATTCAATCATTAGCACTTTTTAAAAGATATGGAGATGTCTCACATTTACAAATGTAATTGACATAAAAGAGGAGATGATGATGATGATGATGATATGTTAGCACTTACATTCTGCTCCTCAGCTTCAAAATGCTTTTTTACATATATTAACTGTGAAATAGTTAGGTCAAGTTCCCTATGGTGCAATGGAGAGACAGAGAAGTTGTGATGTGCCCAAGTCACACAGTGAGTCAGGAGCACAGTGAGTCAGGATTCCTTTGTTCTAGTGCCTTGTTTATTCCCCAGTCAGGATCACACTACCTCACACCCAGGGCCGGCTCCAGGGTTTTGGCCACCCCAAGCAGCCAAAAAAAAAAAAAGCCGCGATCGTGATCTGCAGCGGCAATTTGGCGGAAGGTCCTTCGCTCCGAGCAGGAGTGAGGGACCGTCCGCCGAATTGCTGCCGAATAGCTGGACCTGCCGCCCCTCTCCGGAGTGGCCGCCCCAAGCACCTGCTTGCCAAGCAGGTGCCTGGAGCCGGCCCTGCTCACACCTATAACTGGAAATTAGATTGAGAAAAAAAAAGTTACCCAAGACTTAGATATGTTTGCATGCCTTACTTAGAAACACGCAGGGCCGGATTTCCAATTAGGTACAGTAGGCACAGCCTAGGGTGGCCTTGTCTCTCTAAAACTGTGTACAACATGAAGGTCAGCTGTAGGCAGGTGTGTGGGGGCGGGGGGTGAGTGTGTACTGAAGATGCTGTGCCTAGGGATGTGTAAGGTGTAAATCCGGCCCTGAAAACATATTGTAACTACCCAGATTGATTCTTCAGTCAGGAGCTGGATCCTAGAGTAAATGCTGCCTAATATGATGAGACCACAATCAACATGTTAAAAATTTGTATCATTTGGTAGCAGATGGAGGCTGACAGTGAGTACAGTTAAAAAAAAGTTTAGAGTTTTTTCTAGACAAAAAGAGATGCTTATAAAGCCCTGAAGTGTTGGCACCTTTCCCCTTTCAATTTACTAGTAATGTTTTGATTGTAAATATGATGGCTGAGGAGCTCGATCTTGGAAAGACAAGAACAGGAATCCAAAGCATGATTGGTCTTCGGAGCGTTCTGTATAAATGCAAGGAATCCTATCAAGGAAATAACATCATTAAAACTTGACCAGCAAAAATACACTATATTAGCTTTACAATTAAATACTATGGTTCTAAATCTGGTGAGAGAGTTTTCCCACTAGGAAGTAAAAGAAAGCCATCTTCCCTTTGAATAAATATTGAATGAAATGTCTGTCTCTCATGATAAGAACAGAGAGGCTGTGTATGCTAGAAAAGGGTTGTCTCTCAAATGATACAACCAAGCCAACGGCTCAAAAAACAAAACTTTTACTTGGTTGTGGTTAGTTACTATTAATGTGTTAAGAACTAAAATGAAATTTGGAGTATGGGTGTGAAAAAATCCCCAGTTCAGACAGTTTTTTTGTAAGTGGAAAGGGAGGCAGGAATCTTTCTAATTAATTATTTTGAATGTAATCCTAGCTGATGCTAGAAATGGCTTTTGCTGTTACAAAGAAAAGATTTTTTTAAGAAATGAACTAAATGAGCAAATTGATTTCCTGATGAACCACGGTGAACACTCCTAATAATTCATTGTTAATTATGTAAAGTAGCAGACTAGTTTCATATTCAGGAAAGCACTGAAGGAATAAGAAAGATTAAAATATGGGCATGTTAAATGAATATTGCTCAGAAGAACAAGACAGCTCATTTTATTTCTCTACTGAGTTAGTCAAAATTATAAAGATCTAATTCATTAATGTGTATCAAACCAATTACTATGCAGAACAACATAGTCCAAAGAAAAGAACTGCTGCATGTAATGTGATGTTTCATCCAAGATGCCTGCTAGTGAAGACATTTTTAAAGTGTTGGGTAAGTTCCTTTAGAACTTAGTTGTTTTCTGGTGTGGGGTTTATCTAATTCTACTATCTACTGGTTTGGCAGTGCAGTTTCTCATTCCTGTCTTCAGACTTAAGGTTCCCTAACTGATTATATTCCTTATATTCAACTGAAATTTAGATTTATAAAATGCTCTATAGGAACTTATTCTCTATTCTAGGCATCATTCATGGGAGCATAGCACAGCTGAGAGGCAGATTGGTAATATACTGTGTGGTCCTTAACTGCATGAATCCATTGGCCCTAAAACCCTAAGTAGACATTTGGAGATGCTAAATAGGAGCTGGACTGCAACCCGATAACATGTTGCAGATGACAAAGGATGGAAGTAATTCCGTCTTCCCACCAGTCCTTTGTTACTGCCCCCCACATCAGCCTTGTGAAGGAGTAAATTTCACCTATGCTGAAAAAAAGGGTCAATCCTTCAGCAGTGCCAGTCTCAGCATGCCCTATTGCTGTCAATGGGATGAACACTAGAAAATATTATACCATCTTCTAAAAGACTCTGTGATATTATGATGGTGGATGCTGTATGAACAACTGGATGGATGGATGGATAAAATCCAGTGGATAAACATTGATCTTCATGCAACTTGGAGTACCTGAAAAATCACACAAAACCTGATCCAACCCCCAGTTAAGTCAATAGAAAGAAATATGTGTATGTACATTAATATATACAGATGCGAACCAAGAAACTGTATATATATTTAATAAAGAAGAAACTCAGATATAAATCTACATTTTTATCATCCTGAATCCTGAGGCTAGATCCAAATACAACCATGATAATATCACTATATGTTTCTATACAGTAATAGGCATAGCTGCAGGATTCTGCTGCTGCTATTTTTCTTGGTAATGGCATTGATTTCAGACTTGTTAACCTCAGCTGCCTCTTTTTCCTTTAATCTTGGTACAGAGAAAACTACTTTGGTGCTCAGGACCAGACTTGGATGCACCATTGGCTAATAACTTGTGTGGGAAAATAGTCTGCTCGTAGTTGTCACTGCTGCAAACACTCCTTTAAAACTGGATAAGCCATAGCCCGAGGGGGATTCTGCAGCTGTGCCATCTCCGCTCGTTGTTTCTGTGACACTGAGACAGCCCAACCCACTGCCAGGGCCAATTCTGCTATATATATGTTAGGCAAAACAGGTGGTTGCCTAGGGCAGGGAGATATTAAAGGCTGCAATGATTGTTTCATTGTGTAAGTGGCTACAAGGGACATTTCTGTATTCAGCTGGTAGTGGAATCACTAGCACAAGGCTCTGGCCTTTTGAGCCCTTTGGTTTCAGAAGACAAGGTGGAAGCTTGTGTTACAGGGCTTGGGTGGAAGCAGTTCTAGTTGTTTCCTTTTCTCTCTTAAGCCCTTTAGGGTCTCCCTTGGCCATTTATACTTTGCCCTTTTCTGTCCCTTAGAAATGGGAACCATGGGAATTGCATGAGCCTTGGCTCCATTGTCCACTCATTCTCCCTTAAGAAAGACACATACAAAACAACTATTTTGAAAGCTTCCCCCCCAAAAGAAAAATTACAAAGAACTCCACCGAACTCTGTGAAAATATTAGGTGGTTGACCTTAATTTTTCCTGCTTAATTACATTATTTCCTAAACCTTCTTCCCAAGACACTGTTTGAGTACCACCTTTGTTCTAGTTTTTACCAATGGGTCTGACTGTTCCTGGCCATGCTGGTAAAATTCAGGTCACAAATTGGGAATTATTCTTTGACTTTTAGCTGCTCATTCTTTGCTGTGCTTATACTTGTTATTTTGGGGCAGTGACATTAACTTATTCTAGTGGAAATGAATATTTTCCTTAGGTGAAAATTAATTGAACTTTCACCTGTGGAAGTTGCTGGGATTTTCTAATACCCACAAAACTGCTGACAAGTCAAAGATTCATACAGCTGTAATAGCAAAGTTACAACTCGGCACCCTCATCAAATGGGTGACTCTTCAGTGGCTAAAAATTCAGGTGGTATAGTTCAGATAAATACCCGAAAATTCATATACCTTTCTGAGCTATATCTAAATTGTCCACAAAGGCTCTCTCTCCCCAACAAGCCTAACTCCTCTGTATTTTTTATGAGTGAGATCCTGGGAGCCTGTCTTTTCCCAAATCAAGTCTTCTTGGAGGAATCTATAAAGGGCATTTGTGACAATCAAGCAGGGGATCTGAACTCCAAACAGAAGGGGAGAAAACTTTATCTGGGGATACATTTCAGAAGAATCCCATTTCAACAGTTTACTGGACTACAAAAAGAAGGGGTGACAAATGGGACAGTACCTTCTGATTCTGTAAACATTGTACCTCTTGCTTGGAGCGCTGGAGATGCTGGTGGCTTGATGTAAGTGAGAAACCATGTTAGGCAAAAACATAACTTGCTAGAATTAAGTTTTGGGCAATAGAAAGTGTGCTATTTTTGTAATCCTTTATGATTGCTTTTATTCTTGCTTGGTATCCCTTAAATCTGAGTTTTTTTATTTCCTATAAACCATCTCAGTGCTGTGCATTGAGGTAAAGGGTGTGTCCTCAGTGAGCTAACAGGCTGGGGTGTATTCTGGCTCTTTGGGGACAGCGGTCTTAATAATTTCTGTGAGTGACT